GATTGAAAAGAAAGAAATTTTTAACTTGTTTTCAAAGTTGAGATGTTGATGTTGATTTTGAACTTAAATGGCACTGCAAAGTTTGAATTGTTGTGAGCATAGTCCCGACTTGTCTCATTTGTTTGTCTTGAATATGAAATGCATGGATGTGTTCTTAGTTATCTAACTTGAGTGCAAGCATGACTTGACTTGAATCTGTGCTTTTGAAATTGAAAATGCTAAGTCGTGCCTTCAATGCATAAAATGTTTCAAATGAATCTCTTTGAGAAGTTTTGATTGATTCAAGTGCCTCGTTTTGATAAAATGAACTTCAATGTTTAAATGCGTTGTAATCACACTTGTTGGGTTTCAAATGATTGAAAAAGGGAAATTTTTGAACTTTGGTTGAAAAATGTGAAGTCAAGTTGCATGATTATTTCCTTTATGTTCATTCATTGTATGATTCTTATTATGATGTTTTTCTACAATGTAATTGAATGCCTTGACCCTAAGGTTTGTAAAAATTCCAATCTTACCTCAAAAGTGTAGAGTAATTCCAAAATTGACCAAAATGCCCTTGTTTAGGTTGAAGCTTGCTCCATTTGATCCATTTACATCCATTTGCATCTTCTAAGTGTCTTTGAACTTGTTTGTGATACAATTCTTGATTTTTGCCATGCTAGGGCATAAGTTTGATGTCTCTTGACCTTCCTTATCATGATTCTTGATTTTCTCTTGCAAACTGAGTTGAATTGCTATTCCAACCCAACTGTTTGAAGTCAATTAATTCTATTGTTGCTTAAATGACCTTGAAACTTGTCAAATGTGATCTCTTTTGAATAATTGTGTGCCCTTTGAAATAATTGCAACCTGTTGCTTGTATATACACCATTTTGCACACACTTATATCACTTTGATAGTTTTTGAGATTTTCTGTGCATTTTTTGAGCCTGTTTTCTTGTAATTGATTTCTGACTAAGTTTGGGGGTGTGTTATGGATTCTTGGAGTTTCAACTGCATGATTTAGATGATGTTTCTGTTCTTTGGCCTTAGTATCAATCTTTGAACTTAACTTGAGATTTTAAAATACAATTTGAACAAAGTTAGGACTGTGCTTGCTTGATATTGATGTTTATCTGTTTGCATGCCATTGTCTTCATATCTTATTCTTGTGATCCATTCTTGATGACTGAAGTTCTTTCCGGTCCAGATTTTGACTTCTAGATGGTAAGTTTCTTGTATTCTCAGTATTTGACCATTCTCTACTTCATTTAAGCTATAAAGGGGGTCACGAGCTATAAGTGATCATAGGATGATTGATTTTGTTGCATTGCAGTACAGGATATTTCTTTGTCTAGAGTTGTTGTTATTTGTGCATCATTCAGATATATGCCATCTAGTTGCATACCATATCCAGGATTCATTCTTAAATTTGCTTGTCATAACATGCCTTGGATTGTCGTGTTTTGCAACAGTGCATTTCACTTAGTCTTTATTACATGACATGCCTGTTTCTTGAGTCCTAGGTTGACATTTTTCTTGCTTCTATGCTCCATGTTATCCTGTTTACTGTATTTGATCTTCACTGTTGCACTTGTAGACATTCTTGCTTAGGAATTGATACGATGTCATCTTAGGGTCTACTTATCATGTCATTGCAGCTTCTACTTGAGCTTTAGGTTTGTGAATGCACGTTGCATCATTTATGCACATCACAGCCTATGTTTTTCCTATTGATCATACTTTTGCTCAAAATGTCGCATCTGTGACCATTCTGCCCTTTATGCCATCATTGCATATCTGATCTGTTTTGTTTAGCTGAGGCATGTAGAATGATGATCTTGCAGTTTTCGTAATCACTTCTTGCACAAGCATGATCCTATTTATATGTTCTCACTATTTTTACTTGACTCAGGCATGCTTTGTGTTTCCTTATTAGTTGTTTACCTTATCCTATACCTGTGCACTGATTTATATTTATGTTTTTGCAGATGCAGCGTCGATGAAAGACGCTTGCTATGAAAAGAGTTCATAGAGTGCCACAGCCTCCGCCATCATAGTGGGAGAGTCTTCTTCCTTAACTTCTTCATCATCTCCATCTGTCCAGTCTGAGCCATCTTCCATGGACGCTGAGCATGCCATTATTCGAGAGGTTCCTGCGGAGTCTTACGCCAGTAAGACGCAGGAACTCAAGTACAGATTTGATACGAACCTATTCTTTACTTGGGATCAGACCAAGTGGTCCTATGATGAGCTTGTGAGGCAGAGCATTGATGCCATTATGACTCCAGCAGACACAATCGTTTACCCCAAGTTTGTTGCTCTGTTCTATTAGCACCTCCAGATGGATGAGGATGACAGGCTTCTTCTTCATACCACTATTAACGGTTAAGAGATCGATATTTTTCTCCTGACCATAGCTGCTGCCAGTCGTTGCCCCCACACTTCTTCATTGGCTGATGATTCTCAAGAGCCTCTACATCCTACTACTCCACCTTTTCCCGCTGAGCTAACTATGGTAGCTATTTTATCTCCACATGCTATATTTGTAGAGCACACCTTTGCAGACCGGGTCGAGATTGATTCCCGGTATTGGTTCTTTGATTTAGTGTTGCACTTTAATGCATTCCCGACAGGCCATGGCACTCAGCGGTGAGAGAGGATCTTTTAGGCCCTATATTTGTCTAGACCAGGGGTACTGGATTTCTATTCCTACACTTATATGGGAGATCATACATAAGTTTTGGAAGAACCAGCATCACACACACAGTACTAGAGCAAAGACTTGGCCCTTGCCTTTTAGCCATTTGATTACTCAGTTGCTTCTAGACCAAGGGTATCAGTTTGACCCCGAGGAGATTCTAAAGTTTGATGCAGAGAGAGCGAGGAGAGCTTATGATCTAACCCGATGGAATAAGACTTTTAACTCATGCCGTAAGAACAGGGCAAACAGAGATATGAAGAGACTACAAGCACAGCAGCAGAGAGTAGCAGCACAAGCAACCGCAACAGACGATTCTCCAGAGGATGATACAGTAGACAAATCTCCCCCCAGATAGAGACGTCGCATTACCACTACAAGTTCTACCTCCTAGCCAGATGTACCTATTGCATGTCAGCAGACTGACCCTTCACATGCCCCTCCGACTGAGCTAACAGCACATACCAGCACTAATTCTAGCTATAGATCAGGGGTAGATCAGCTACACATAGACTTCATATCTTTTAGAGCTAATATGACTGGGTGGCATGAGGATGTCACGAGGAGGCATGATGATTTGGTGAGGAGACATGACAACTTGGTGAGGAGACACGGTGATTTAGTTCGGCGATCTGATGAGTTACAAGCAGATGTAGCTACCGTAAGAGATGAAATTGGTGCACTGCGGACTGACCTTTCGGATTCTCTCACTCACCATAGCACTGAGATGTCTGTCATGCTTCAGCATATTGCGGATATGATTACTCTTGATCCTACTATTTGATTCCACCATTTTCTCTCCTCTTTATTTGATATTTGCACTGTTACTGCTGAGATATTTTTGCACTAACTTACCCCTTGCACTGGTTTTGAATATTATTTTTGGATATTTTTGGATATTATTGCTTACATTGCATTGATTTATCGATATCTGATCTTGTATTTATTTTCTATATATGGATTTTTGGATCTTTGACATCAATTTTGGATATTCTAAGCTTTACATTGCTAGATGCCATGATTTTTGCCCAGTTCTCAGTTTCACCTCTCATTTATATCATTGTTGTATATGTTTTGACAGTTGTTAGTGTGACCATTCACTACAAGAAAAAATGGCTTCTACGAGGGGCCAAAAACGCCGTGGAAACCTATTCACGACGCATTTTAGGTCCTCGTGTATGAGGGTTCCGTAAATACTCAATTTTTTTACGGGAAAAAATCTATCTCGTAGAAAAATAATAGATTCGCTGTAAAAATAATTTTGTTTATATATATTAAATTTATTTAATTAACTTACGAGGCACCGGTGCATGCCGTAGAAAAAAAAAAATTTCTACGGCGAAATGTAAATTGCTGTAGAAAAGTTTTCTACGGCGAGTTGTAACTACCCGTAAATAATTTCACGAGGTACCAACGCGTGCCGTAGAAAATTTTTCTACGATGAGTTGTAACTACCCGTAAATAATCTCACGGGGCACAGAAACATGCTGTAGAAAAGTTTTCTAAGGCAAATTTTAACTACCCGTAAATAATATCACGAGTCATTCAAGCGTGCCGTAGAAATGTCTTCTGCGGTGAATTTTAGGTACCCATAAATAATATAAATCATTCTCACGACTTGCCATGTATGTCGTAGAAAAGGTACTTAGGAGGATTTTCACTTATTTACGGGATTTTAAGCTCCCCGTAAAATATATATATATATATTTTTATAAATAAAACAGTCTTAATTAATGTCATTTAATCATCCAGCACCTGTAATTGACATCACTTTCAGCTATAATTCAATTCAAAAAACATATCCCACTAAATATATCAAAAGAGTTAAAACATTTTTACAATTCATCATTTATAATGTACCAAAACAATTCAACATTTATCAATGTTCCAAAACAGGAAGTAAATCCATTTGTCAAGAAAATCATCAATTTCTTAACAATTCTGTTGAAAAAGTTTTCTAAGGCAAATTTTAACTACCCGTAAATAATATCACGAGTCATTCAAGCGTGCCGTAAAAATGTCTTCTGCGGTGAATTTTAGGTACCCATAAATAATATAAATCATTCTCACGACTTGCCATGTATGCCGTAGAAAAGGTACTTAGGAGGATTTTCACTTATTTACGGGATTTTAAGCTCCCCGTAAAATATATATATATATATTTTTATAAATAAAACAGTCTTAATTAATGCCATTTAATCATCCAGCACCTGTAATTGACATCACTTTCAGCTATAATTCAATTCAAAAAACATATCCCACTAAATATATCAAAAGAGTTAAAATATTTTTACAATTCATCATTTATTAATGTACCAAAACAATTCAACATTTATCAATGTTCCAAAACAGGAAGTAAATCCATTTGTCAAGAAAATCATCAATTTCTTAACACTTCTGTTGAAAAATTGATAAACCTTCTAGCACTTGAGTTTCAGTCTGCACTTGTCAGAAAACCACCTCACTGTACAAAATCCAAGGAAGCACCTGTAATTGACATCACTTTCAGCTATAATTCAATTCAAAAAACATATCCCACTAAATATATCAAAAGAGTTAAAACATTTTTACAATTCATCATTTATTAATGTACCAAAACAATTCAACATTTATCAATGTTCCAAAACAGGAAGTAAATCCATTTGTCAAGAAAATCATCAATTTCTTAACAATTCTGTTGAAAAAGTTTTCTAAGGCAAATTTTAACTACCCGTAAATAATATCACGAGTCATTCAAGCGTGCCGTAAAAATGTCTTCTGCGGTGAATTTTAGGTACCCATAAATAATATAAATCATTCTCACGACTTGCCATGTATGCCGTAGAAAAGGTACTTAGGAGGATTTTCACTTATTTACGGGATTTTAAGCTCCCTGTAAAATATATATATATATATATTTTTATAAATAAAACAGTCTTAATTAATGCCATTTAATCATCCAGCACCTGTAATTGACATCACTTTCAGCTATAATTCAATTCAAAAAACATATCCCACTAAATATATCAAAAGAGTTAAAATATTTTTACAATTCATCATTTATTAATGTACCAAAACAATTCAACATTTATCAATGTTCCAAAACAGGAAGTAAATCCATTTGTCAAGAAAATCATCAATTTCTTAACACTTCTGTTGAAAAATTGATAAACCTTCTAGCACTTGAGTTTCAGTCTGCACTTGTCAGAAAACCACCTCACTGTACAAAATCCAAGGAAGCACCTGTAATTGACATCACTTTCAGCTATAATTCAATTCAAAAAACATATCCCACTAAATATATCAAAAGAGTTAAAACATTTTTACAATTCATCATTTATTAATGTACCAAAACAATTCAACATTTATCAATGTTCCAAAACAGGAAGTAAATCCATTTGTCAAGAAAATCATCAATTTCTTAACAATTCTGTTGAAAAAGTTTTCTAAGGCAAATTTTAACTACCCGTAAATAATATCACGAGTCATTCAAGCGTGCCGTAAAAATGTCTTCTGCGGTGAGTTTTAGGTACCCATAAATAATATAAATCATTCTCACGACTTGCCATGTATGCCGTAGAAAAGGTACTTAGGAGGATTTTCACTTATTTACGGGATTTTAAGCTCCCTGTAAAATATATATATATATATATTTTTATAAATAAAACAGTCTTAATTAATGCCATTTAATCATCCAGCACCTGTAATTGACATCACTTTCAGCTATAATTCAATTCAAAAAACATATCCCACTAAATATATCAAAAGAGTTAAAATATTTTTACAATTCATCATTTATTAATGTACCAAAACAATTCAACATTTATCAATGTTCCAAAACAGGAAGTAAATCCATTTGTCAAGAAAATCATCAATTTCTTAACACTTCTGTTGAAAAATTGATAAACCTTCTAGCACTTGAGTTTCAGTCTGCACTTGTCAGAAAACCACCTCACTGTACAAAATCCAAGGAAGTAGCTGCAAAATCCACGGTATAAAATCCAAAAAAATAGCTGCATCACACAAGTCTCAAATTCAGAATACTAATAAAAAAGGGAAATAACAAGATTATCATTTATGAATCAAACACAAACATTTTGCTAAAAATTTCTTCCTTAGATCTGCCGAAAATATTTCAAGCAGATAATTTTTGAATACTAGATTTTTGCAAGGATATATGAGAATAGACAATATCATAATCTCTTTATATTCATGAACACTACAATATCATAATATGTAGTCTCTTTATCTCATGATTATGAGCAAATCTGAGACATTCTGAAACAAATCTTAAACATTGTAGGTTTTTGGTGCAATGATTATGAGCAAATCTGAAACATTCTTGTTGGAGTTAATTGTTGCAAAACCCATTTTGGAGCAACTTCATCATTAAATGGAATTTGAACTTCTGATTTTTGTTTGTAGCAGTGTCAACATAATGATTCCAGGGATTTCAAATTTGTTGAACCAGAAGTGGTGCCTTGTTGTCTGTCTATTCGTCTTCAAGAAATTGAAATTATTGGATTTCTGGGGCAGAGTTATGATCTAGAGCAGAAGCTGATACAGTATTTTATGGGAAATGCTAAAGTATTGGTAAAGATGACAATTAATCCTTATAATTCTGAATGAATTGTAAGAGGGGGAGTTTTTTTTTTTATGAACTGCTGGTGTGGTTGAGAGGGTTTCAATAACATTAGACCCGGCCACGTATCTAATTTTGTATCAAATTGACAAGTACTCTTCCTCTATAATTTAGCATTTCCCCTTTTTTTTGTCAATAGTCTTATGTATGTAGTTGTCGCATGTGCTTTAGCTTTTAGTTGCAATCATCAATACAATGTCTCTTACAACAGCAATTTTGTAGGTTTACTTCAATTCTGATTCTAAACCCTTTTGAGAAATACATATTAGGTGTGCGTTTTAGGCATCAAATTGGAAGAGCTCTTATTATAGGCATCATCCATGAGAGAACATTTGTTGAATATGTAGGGTATGTTTATATATTTACATTATATATTGTGGGGTGAATTGCTTTGTAAAGAAGGTAGGTGGAATGAGTTGTATAGACCACAAGTAATTGTTACATAATCATTTAATTCATTCTTCGTTAAGTATTGGATTGAGTTATCAAGTAAGATCGAAATTTTATTGTTATTGCTTCACTTCCACAATATATAATTCACTATCCAACCACAAGATGACATATGGACATTATACAATAAAGAATTAAGCTAGGTTGTGTTGTTGTTGTGGGGACAAACATGTATGGTGGAAATGATAGTTGTTGTAGTATTCGATAGACAAAACGGTTAATTAATTGACAAGGTAGCTGGGGTTGCTTTCAACTTTAGATTGTTTATTACGTGTGGATGGGGCGCAAATGGTAGGTATATTGCACAACTTATTGTCCTTAATCATTAATCAACACTTGAGCTTTGCTTTGTAACCATAATTAAAGCTAACTACATCTGGCCCAGGAATTTGAAAGCTGCTGGGAACTAAGATATTCGACCTTAATACATGCATTGTCTTTTTTTTCTTTTTTCTTTTTCCTTTTTTTTCACTTGCATATAAATATACTGTGTGTATATGTGTGCACCTTTATGGCGAGTCTATCATGAACTTATTTAGCCATACTATGCTGACCATCATCCCTAGCTTTTTCCTCAAACCATCATAATTGATGTAGAGTTTGTAAACAGATTGCTCTCTTTGATTGATAAATTTGAGGATCCATTTAAGCTAAATCTAGCTCCTGGCTTGTTCATTATTCATGATGGACAATCAATTGCTTCTGGGACTTTTGGGCAAGTGATTGTTTAATATTTACTGTCGCACCAAGCAGTGACTCTTTACTAAGTTTACGAAGTTCTGCCAAATTAATGGAATTTTCTGTTTCATAACAAACTAACTGATTAATTTGTGTTCTAAATAACAGGCTAGAGTTGGGAAATTGAAAGAAGGTATTGAGTTTTCTTGAGCATTGTGGGTTCGAGAGAGATGAAGGAGGTGAGTTTTTATTTTTTCCTAGGGACAAGGTTGACATGGAAGTACTAAGATCAGCTGGGAATTTGTTAAAGTCTGCAACAACAAATCCCTTTTTTGGACTTCTATCAAAATGAAAGAAGATTAAGGTTCTTCCAGAGTGATTGACTTCTTCAAATTATGATAAAACGTGGCTATAGAGAAAATGTAACTTGAGAATTTGTATCCATTTGAGAACTTTAATGTTCTCGAGTCTTACGTTGGGGTCTATCCTATTTATGAGGGTTTGTAGATTTATCAATAAGATCCAACATCACTTAACTGGAACATTAGTATTGTCTAAGCTTTTATTCGAAAAGTGGATTGTGATATCAAAGTACTTTGTTATTTGTGTTATTGAATTGTAGGAGAATTGCATAATCTGGACTTACTGACCCATTTTAGTATGATATTTTTTTAGTCTAAATCCTTTTAGATGTGGGATGCAACATACTTGTGTGCTCAGGAATGATTTTTCGTGATAAGGCCTGATTGAAATAAATTATAATTCTGGGATTGGTTCTCATTATCTCTGATGATACGTGGTATGTCTGCTCATTAGTATAGGGTCATAAATAATTAGAATGGTCCATACCCTACTACTGTGGTACTAAAGTATGGTTCCAATAATAGATGGAAAGGCTTCAAAATTTTCATGCAAAGACAAACTACTATTCCATGTAAAACTAAAAAATTTAAGTAAAGATATAAATAACATATCAACAACAACTTCTCCTCCACAACAATCAATCAAAACCTCCACATACGTTGATCCCATACTCCCATGTTTTCAACATTTTAAAACAAGAAATAAAAATGGCCTCCACACGGGCCGATGTACCATTAAGGTAATAAAGTTCAAGATACACTGCAAAATTGGACACTTAAAGGCACGTGACCCCCCTAAGTATGAGTATAAAAAGCATTAAAATTGTGCAATCATAAAAGAAGCATAGTATTTGACCTTTGTTGTAGATTGGAATCATAGAAATTCTGATACGTCTCTGGCATTTCAATGTCATTTACATCACTTCCATGTTGGAGAGATTCACTCAAATTTTCCCCGTGAAAGTACCAGATAGTGTATGATTGATCCATTCCATTTTCCAATAAATGCCTAAACACCATGTCGAAGTATTGGTGCTTTGCATTTAGACAACAATTGCAAGGGCATAAAATCTTTTCTGGATGGCCCGCATTCGCTTGCGCCTGATCAGCAAACCTCCGTACTCCTTCTAAATACTTTGGATTAACTCTATAAAATTAAAGCTTTAACATTTAATTAAACATAAAATTAGTGTAGACAATATTAACTTTTATAAGCATACTCCACTACATATAATAACCTGTAAGTCATGTGCATCCATTCTTTATCCATCACCATTTGCTTAATTATTTTGTCTAGTAACCTATCACAAAAGATTAAAAATTTTATCAAAATTCTAGCAAGAAGAATATATAACTATATTCATGATAGAGTCTATTATGTCTCTATTACACTTCTATAATATTATCCTCTACTACACTACAACAACTGAAGGAACAAAACTTGGCAAAAATAAAATAAAATAGCACACAACATGAAAAATCAAGAATAAGTAAAGAGGGAAAATACCACTACAATTATCTGAAAATGTTGTCAGGCAAATTCCATCTCTCTCCCAAACAAGTGTTACTAGTGCTGTTATCTTCGAGTTTTTTTGGAGGGAGAAAGCTCTATTCCTCTCAACCCTAAATGAAGTATATATAGGTAGCAAAGAGCAATTTATTAATAACAGAATCAAATTTTCAATCTCATCGCATTGCTATGCCTCTATAAGAGAAAGAAGAAAATGAATTTAAAAAACGGAGAGTGTGGTATTAAAAGGCAATCAATAGTACAAGCATATATTTCTTCCCTTCATAGGATGGCATGAAAAAAATAGATAAAAATGGCATCATCTATATAGAAGTTGGAGCATCACTTGTAAAAATATGTGATTCTATCCCATGAGGCCATGACTTCTTTTGCTTGTTTCACTAAAATTTACTTAATTCAGAATACTTGACTACGGCTAGCATTTCCTTAATGAATTAAATCTAGACCCTCTTCGTAATTCATAAAAAAACAATCACCTTGTCATTTTGACCAATGAACAGATAGTTAATTAATATGAACCACTTGTAGGATCTATACTCGGGTTTGATCTGATGAGACTCTTTGCAAACAAAGATCACATGTACATTTGACACACTATATATAGTCATAGCATTCTCCAAGAGTTCTCCATTCACAAGAAAAAGAAATCCATAGTTCTCTGTTCACAAGTTCTCAAAAAGGGGGGAAAAAAATAAAGATGGATTCTGCCAATTTATTTTTTGAATAGGACCAACTATTTGTTACATCGATTTTAGGTTCTCCAAGAGTTCTCAGTCTACAAGACAAAGGGCCTAGGGATGTTATATATATATATATATATATATATATATATATATTACATGAATACAAATAGAGAAATCCAGCCAACAAAAGAGAAACCCAAACATTAAAGAAATGCAGACTCAGCCAACAAAATCGACAATAGAACGAGAGAAAGAAAAAGAAAAAAAGAAATAAGCAAATTGAAGCTATCTTTACAAAATTGAATATAAGATTAGAGTGAATATTGTATTTTTTAAAGAAAAAAAAAACCAAAAATCTTTGAGAGAGAAGGATGAATTATTACATGTAGATGCTGAAGATAGGTAGCGAGAGTCAAACATAAGGTACCGGGAGGGATGAGGAAGAGTTGACTTGTAGGTCTAGAGAAGGGAATTTGTGGCTGAGGAACGGACAATGTTTTGAACGGCCGGAGAAAGTTCAGTCATTTTAAGTTGGAGGAGTTCTCCGTGTTTTCTCAAAGATGGAAACTCTACTCCCAAAACTCTGATAACTTGTTCAAGCTGTTCTCTAAAACTCATACTCTAGTGATTCAATTTTTTGAGAACTATTCTCTAAAAAGAGATCCAATTATATTATAAACCAGCTTTCTTAGTTTTTGTCACTAAAAAAACATTTTAATTGGGATAACTGAGGCATTCAGAAGCTGTCTCATTGATCATGAACAATTTTTCCTTAACTGTCATGTAGATTATTATATACACCACGATTTTAACAACCTGTCCTATAGCAGTCCAAAATTGAAAATCCTTGCTTTAAGACCCCTAAATCAGAAAAATAAATATAATAAGGAAGTATGGAGAAACACCAAATTCATAATAACCAATATCTTCAAAATTTCAAACTTAAATTCCCATTCACTAGCTTCAATTCAAAGTGCCTAATTGAATATGAGAAAAACCAAATAATTACTAATTAATTTTCTGATAAAGAACAGAGAAAAAAAAAATGAAAACAAGATCAGTTTGAATATTGATTATGAAATCAGAAAAATAAGAATCAAAATTGATAAAGTCAAATTCATGCATTGGCGCCAAGCCCTTCTGCCAAGGTTTCCCCTATCTCTGCAACTCAATCTAAGTCTGGGATGGATAGAAATAGAGATGACGAGCGGAGCGAATGATCAAAGTGATCAAGGATCGACTGAAAGTACAAACACACAGACACATATATACTAGTATAAATAGAGAGAAATAGATTGGAAACAAACCTAGCAGCAACAGCCATCCGCAAATCACCTAGCACACCTTCGCATCTCCAAAGGAGGATTCTAGACCTAGGGTTTCTTCTTTGAGCCATGTTACCATTAGGGGTTAGGGTTTTCTTCGATGTCCAACTACAAAAGCTTTAGGGAGAGAGACGATATGGCTAGATGGAAAGACAGAAACACATTTTCAGTACTGGTTAGGGCTTTGATCCGTCGACTATCAGTGTGCGTGTTTTGGGTGTGTGGTTATATACTGAATTTATATTTTTCATTTATTTTTATTTTTTTGTCAAACTAAGTAGTGAAAATATCAGCGGGAATTACACAGGCAATAGACATGTGTGCGCAGGAAATTAAATTAAAATTAGTGCTAAAAATTTTCAAATTACATTCACAACATGCTCAAAACGTTGCATGTTTTCAATTTGACAACAAGCATGTTATAAAATTTCCTTTTAACAAGGTGCAATTTTGCATATTGTAAATACCTCGTTGTAAATAATCATTTTTCTTGTAGTGTGTCTATACATATACAGCGCGCTATTCAAATTCTTCTATATATAATCATTTTATTCACCAAAACACGAACTCATCACGCTCCAAACTGGAGCTCTGTTTCTATAATTAAGTAGCTCGATCATCATTATTGAGGCCATCGAGTATTCAATATAAATATAACTGGACTTGCCTCAGACAACTTAACTATCTACTCATTCAACAAACTTCCTGTATCCTCCTACCTTATGTGATTTACCTCTTTGATGCAGATTCACACTAGATTTTTTCCAATGGATGTTGACTCCAGCTCTTTGAAAATTCAAGCATCGTATAAAAGACTTACACTAGATTTTTTCCGATGGATGTTGACTCGAGCTCTTTGAAAATTCAAGCATCATATAAAATCATCCAAATGCTTACGCACATATGCAGTACTCGAGGCTAGCTTATATATATGCATGGTAACAATAATTACAAAAGAAAGCCTAATGTAATAAATACTTCAAAATTAAAATCTTTCTACTACTATGGAAGCAGATGATAAAAAGATCTTGCATTTTCAAGGTCTCAATCATGGAGTACACACTTATTAGGAGTCAAAACATGCTAAACTATTTTATGTGGGAGCAGCTAGCCAGCACAATGATTTAAGGTGGCTATTTCATCACGAAACAAGTATTTTCTTCACCTAAAAATAAATTAACAACAGAAAATGAAAAGAAAAACTACTTTAACCACAATCTAAGATCAAAACTTAGGTTATGTAGCTCAATGTAGTACTATATATGTGTAACAAGTCGGGCCCTTACATTCTGAATCAAAAGCCTAAGTTGTTGGGTAGTGTTGCATATCCGCTATATGTACCCAATATCTTTCACATCCGGATTTGAAGTTAGCTAGCTAGCTGCTGTACAACTCTTTCGTCAAAGATGACAAGCTATTAGATGATCACTATTGAAGACAAGAATCATCAGCTATTTAATTTATGAGAGGCAGGAACTTATTCTTATGCAAATGAAAAAAGATAACCATAGAACAAGCATATATAAGCAATATATATGAAGTTATATAACAGAATAACTAGCTTCTGGTAAGAGAACCTTAACAGTCCCTTAATTTATAAATTTAGTTCTTTCTGAAACTTGCATATTCTTATGCACCTTGGAAAAATGAGATCTGAAAATTTCAGGGAAATAACATTAGACTACTGTGCTAATTAAAACTTTTAATATCAATTAGCATGGCAAAGGACTAAGATACATTTTAGATAAATAACATTAGACATCTGTGCTAATTAAAACTTTTAATATCAATTAGCATGGCAAAGGACTAAGATACATTTTAGATAAATAACATTAGACATCTGTTCTAATTAAAACTTTTAATATCAATTAGTATGGCAAAGGACTAAGATACATTTTAGATTTTTCTCTCTCTCAACATCCGCTTATAAAATGATCGAGATTATTAAATAATTGTTCTCAATCTATATCAGAGTTATCATTATAACATTCACTCTTGATTGGGGACTTAACAGATATTATCAAGGCTTAGTCCCCTAAACCAATAATCCAAATATATATATATATATATATATATATTCTTTATATATTGTTACTTTCTTAAAAATTTTATTTCCTTATAATTACTAGATCCCAAACAATATCAGAATTCCAAAAAAAATATATTTTCTTATATTATCATATTTTAAAAGATTTATTTCCTTATATTATTATACCCCAAACAATAGCAGAATCCCCAAATTTTATTTTTCCTTTATTTTATTTTTTTTACCAAAATTTTATAGTGAGCCCAAAGAATTAACTCCTAGTTGATTCTCATAAATATATATTAAGCTTTAAACTCTTTGCTTAAGATATTAACTCATAAATCCCCATATTCTTTTTCTTGATAAATCCTGGCCATTGTCGTGTGCCTGAGCACTCATTGGGTTGCATTTTTTTATTCATATTTTTGTAAGCATGGTGTCACGCTTAGTCAAGTTGCATGGAGAATCTACCATGTCTTAGACCGGCGGAATGACGTGACTGAAGTTATAGAATATTCCAGATTGATGTGGAGTTATGAAGTACCGGATGGATTTGAGAAGGTAGGGAGGATGTCTATGGATAAGGATCCTCTTCAAGAAATGAGAGGTTCTGCACACCCACCAATAAGGACCTCTTCTTTCTTGGAGGGGATCCTTGTTCGATGTCTATAAATAGGGAGTGTCATTTGTAACCTAGTAACATTTTCCTCCCAACATCTTCGATTAATTGAGATCATACTCGCAATAATGCAAAATTGAATGTCACATGCATTCACTCAAATCAACCTCATTTAACTTCATTTCTTCTTTTATCAAATGAATTTTTTTAAGATTCATATCCATAACATTCAACAAGTATATAAGGTTGTAAAGGAAGAACACTCAGTAATATACCATTCCCATTTCTCCTTTATAGTGAACCCTAATACTATTATATATTTTCATCCAATGCGGTGTCATAATTTTATCTCAAAAAAGTTGTTTCTGGAACTCTTGTTACTTATACAATGAGATATAAATGTTTTAGAAACAATCTATGATCTAAATATTCACCTAGATGCCGTGTAAATTAGGTTGATTTACAAATCTACCTAAAATCCATGTTAAAGATATATATAGAGAGTGATCATATGGTTATATGTAGTCATGGATATTACCTCATATCCTTTTGATGTGCTCTTTACACATTAGTACTACCAGTAACACTAGGTTTAAATATACTGAGAATAAAGGTCCTCATAATTTCTTTTGTTCTCAAAATATGTTATTTTGATTACATTGTCCTGGATAAATCATGCTTGGCTATCTGTAGTAATATTCATCATCCTGGTTATTATGCCAAGTCTCAACTGCTACCATCAAATTCGTTTTTCTAATGTTTAGGTAAGTGTACTAACAAAAATTAATTTATTTTCCAAACTCCTAAAAATTAAAAGATATTTTTAGAAGTCTCATTGTTGAATTTTCTTTTAAAGCAAAATGAAAGTAGTACTAATAGCAGAAACCAAAGTAGTAAGAAATATATTGTATCCAAAAAGAAGAAGAAAAATAAAACTCAGGCACAAATTAATTAACAAACATAAATAATAGAGAAACATACATATATCTTCCCCATGATCATTTCAACTGCTCAGCAGTTGATGGTGATCTGAAACCATAATAAGCATGGGAAGATAATAAAAACTTTTAATTATTCAGAGATTAATTTCAATCTGAAGGAACTTCAAAAGAACTAAATATACATATATATATTAGAGTACGTTCATGTACCATATTAGAGCTGACTATGGTTGTTGTAGACCTCCCAGGGTTTGCCATAGATTTGAAATTCTGCAAATTAATTGAGACACAAATTAAATAATAAAATGGTTCGAAGAATCAATTCAGCTAGGTTCTTATGTACGTAATTGGATGATACCTGTGGATAGATTCATGCTGGCCATAACACGAAAGCTAGAGCGTGCAATAGCAGTACCAATGTCCCAACGTTGCGTGACATTTGAAGAATAGTTTGAAAGGTCTTGCTGATAATAATTATCAGACAACAAAGATACGTTCCTAAGTTCTTCTAAATCTGCAATTTCCCTTGCAATTTTGAAACCCTATAATATGTATTTGCATAAAAATAAATAAAAAATAAATAAAAACTACAGAAAAATCCAAAAAGAAAAAATTAAATTAAATAAAACACTCTTAGTCAAAAAATTAAAACTAATAGATACATATATAGAAAGAGATAGACGAACCTTAATTTTTTGCTCCAAATTGATGTGTATAGCCGTCTAAAATTCGAAGAAACTATGGCTCCAAATGGTTGTTTCTCGTGTCCAAACCAGAGAGAAAACTCGAACAAAGAGGCGAGCCAGAGAGATAACTCGAACAAAGAGGCGAACCAGAGAGATAACTCGAATAGGGAGACTATATCGAATCTATAACATCATCTTGTCCGCATCTTTTTCATCTAAAGAGAGAGAGCACAGAGAGAAAGCTAGGGCTTCGACGTGATAGAGAGAGAGCAGAGAGAGAAAGCTAGGGCTTAGACGAGAGAGAGAGCAGACAGAGAAGGCGGGCTTCGACGCGAGAGAGAGAGAGCAGAGAGAGAAGTCTAGGGCTTAGACGCGAGAGAGAGAGCAGATTTATGTAGTCCCTTTGGACACACGATATTACGCCTATTGACAAAAACTACGTCGTTTTATAAGGTGAGACTAATTTTTTATTATGTTTTCTATTTAAAAAATCATTTATCTGGCGCTAAGTTTCCCGCCAGAGGAACGGAGGGGGAATTTTTTGCCTAAAAATAGTATTACTTATCTACGGGATAAAAAAGGCGCCTTAAAAAAAAATGACTCTAAATTTCCCACCAGCGGCACGAAAGGGGAAAAATTTTATTTGGAAAATAGTATTACTTATCTACGGTGCAAAAAAGGCGCCTTAAATGTGAAATTTATTCACGGGCTTTTTAATACACCATAAAAGAACTTAAGTTCATTTATATATATATTTTTTAACTAATTTTATTAATTGTGAGTATAAAAAATGGCGGGCAAGGTGAATTGCTTATTTACGGGGAAAAAAAAGGCCTTAAATGAGTGTTTTATCAACGAGGAACATTTATCCCGTTACAGGTGTACAAATATGCCGTAAATATATCTAAATATTCACGAGCTCTTTAATACACCGTAAAAATATTTTTCTACGAGGATTTTACTAAAACGTCGTGAAAGCATGTCCTATAACGAGGATTCTTTCAAAAACTCCGTAAATGGTGGTAATCACGAGGCAAAATAAAAAGACCCGTAAATACTATGTCGTAAAAGCCTACATTTCTTGTAGTGATTTTTAGACAGGTTTTCGAAATCTAAGTTTGGTGGTGCGCCTTCTAATGCAAAACTTCCATTGCCGGGTCCCTTTTGCTTCACCCATTTGGTATACTCTTTTCATTATCTATTGCTTCTTTGCATATTGAGAACAATGCACAGATTAAGTTTGAGGGTGTATTTGCATACTTTACATGTCGCACTTACTTTCTATGTATGTGGTATGATTTGAGAGTCTTGGGCTATGATTTTGATCTTTTGAGGACCATGATACTTAGAATTTAAAAATTGCTTGGCTTGAGAGTCTAATACTCCTTATTTACCATGTGGATGCCATTTAAGAGTAAATTTTTTTAAAAATTGATATCTTGCTTGCATTTGTGGTCCACATCATCTTGATCTTGTGATTGTTTTGAAATTCACTCTAGGATTCTACACTAGCACAGGCGCACACTAGCATTCATTTGTAGGGTACATGCTTTGTTGATTATTGATTTGGTTATATCCCAATTGAGCTAGTAGTGCATTGAAAGCTTTCATTCTTAATAAAGGTAGATAACAAACCCTTTTCATTGGTAGCTGAGATTCTAGCCGCATCAAGCACTGAATTTCTCGCGCCGAAAGGTGGAGGGCCCAGACTCTAAGTTAATAATTGAACTTTCTAAATAAAAAAAAAGTTGTTGCAAAAGAAAAAAAAGTGAGGACTTCTCCAAAAAGGTGAGAAGTGGGAAATGATTAGATGGAGGTTGTTTTGATTTGTAGCCTAGTCGATTTGAGCTTGTAAGTCCTTAGGGGTGTTTAAACACCTAATGCCCTAAAGCCATCCTGTTTGGGAGTCCTTGACCTAACGCTCGACCTCATGGATCGCTAGAAAGCTTAATAGATCAACACATTGCACTATGCTTCCATCTTTGATCCTTAGGATTAAAAAAATAATAAAAAATAATTAAAAAAAATTGAGTGAAAAAAATAAGCGCAACTAAATGAATAAAGCTTTAATAAAAGGTCCACTCTTTGTCTCGATGATCGATACTAGATTTGTGTGCTAGTTTGATGGTAAGGATGTGATTATTTCTTTAGTTGGCTTAGATAGCAATATATTTAATGCCGATTGACTTAAAAATGATTCTAGAGTTTTTTTTACTTGCATGATCATTGTCTTGATGTGTGGAGGACCATACTTGTTCGCTTGATGTTAAGATTTTGGGAGATTGCTTGGAAAGGGTTGAAAAATTGCATACTTGAGGTAGTTTTCTCCCTATACTTGTTTTGTATATTAGTGCCTCTCTTATGAGAAAGAGCTCCATGTTTGTGGGTATCATTTCTGGAAACCCTCACGAGACTTCACTCGTCCACTAGGGGTAACCTAGGAGTTTAAAAGGCTTGTTGCATACGCTAAATGCAATCGTGTTCCCTACGAAAGTGGCGTTATTTTTTTATTACTTTTTAGTTCATAGTTGCTTAGTTCCTATTTCCTTATTTTTCTTATAGTCCATTGCTAGGGACTAGCAATATCTAAGTTTGGGAGTGTGATGAGTGCTCAAATGTGACGCATTTTAGCACCTAAGATATGGTATTTTAGTCTATTCATCTATCTCACTTTCATGTCTTAGATACTTATTTGTGTTTTTGCCTATTTTAGGTCAAGAAAGTTCAAACAGGCTAACAAAAGCCATTTGGCTCAATTTTGATGCTAAGGAGTAAAGTTGGAAAGAAACCAAGAAAATGCACCAGAGGAGCTTCTATCCATCGAAGGGAATCCCGATCGATCGAAGATGTTTACAATCGATCGAAATGAGGCGGTGCCAGCTCTGCAATTTGGATAAGGCCAAAGATGATATTTTCGAGCCACGTCAGCTTCGATCGATCGAAGCTAAGTGTTGGTGTAATGACCCGGTCATTTTCATTCCTTTCCCTTTCTCAAATTTTCACGGATATTTTTTTTTTCGTTGATCTTTTCCTTTCTGAGTTCAGTTCCTTGCCACTAAATGTCATCTTGAGTGCTCGGGGATGGTTTTAGAGACTTTTTTTCTTGGATTGACGACTTCCTTTAAGGACCGAGTCATTTTCACGTTTTCACTTTTGTGACATTATTTACTTTTCGTCTTTTTCTCGGTTGTCACTTTGTTGGAATAACCTCATTTTTCGTGTTCAGATTTGATTCCGGTTTTACACACATCCACGATATTTAAATTCCATGCTATGTGTATTTTTACTTTTGTAGAAAAGCATGCTAGTTGTGGTCTTTCTTCCATAAGGATGTGGATGCACACTTCTTTGTAATTTCTCTTTCTTTTGGGGTCATTTGTGTAATTACTGTAAAGTAATTATTTTTCGTCTTAGGGACCATTTTGCAATTTAATTTGGAAGATATTTTCAAAAAGGACCTTTTTGCAATTTTCAAAAAGTGTGACAAGTGTCACACTCTCATTGGTGCACTTGTTGACATTTGTGTGGAAACACTTTGATACCTTCGATGATGACATGTGGAGGGTGGAGATTCAACCACTTGTTGGCTTAGGATTGGTGCATTTGTTGGCTTCGATGGTTGGCAAGTGTAGGCTTGAGATTAAGCCTAGGATGGAGCCTTGGATGAGTGACAAGTGTATGTTCCAAATTAAGTCTTGCAATTAATTTTTGGGCCACTTTGGAATTATGTTGTTAAGAGGGGTTTTGTGCAATTGACCAACACTTGTGTGTGTTGACCTTGGTGTAAGACCACATAGTGAGTGGAGGATTTCTATTTCCTCCACTCATATTATTTCACACCTAATTTCTATCTCTTCCCTCTCTTGTAAAGAAAACCCTAGCCTCCATGGATGGAGCTTGAAACCTTAGGCCTTGACCTTGATTTTTGATGGCTTTTCACTCACCTTAGACCTTAAAGCTTGGAACACTTTTTGTTCCCCTCATCCTCCTATACATAACCCTATAAGGGTTTGCCATTTTGTGTTGATTTGCCTTGGATTCTAGAGAGACCCTTCTATAGTGAGGTAGGGGATGTTATAGGGTTATATTTTTGTTTCTTGCATGCTATTGATGCTTTTATAAGTTGTATGCATGTCTTTTATTAATTTGAGAAATTAGTGATTTATTATATCTTGCATATAACTCATTTTAGACTTGGTAAATGGCATGGCCATGAGTTAATCTTTGATATATATTAATTTAGGATGATTTAGATGAATTTTCAAATCTAGAGATTAAATGGATCTAATTTAATTTAAATTCTAGTAAATTGTATTTTACTTATATTCCATTTTAGACTTGAGATATGGTATAAACATGATTTGGTGCTTGATATATATTAATTAGGGATCATTTGAATAACTTTTGAAATCTAGAGATTGATTAATTTAAATTAATTAAATTCTATATGATGCTATCTTGCTCATTTGACACTTTTGATTTGATATATGTAATGAGCATGCTATGTTGTTTAACATATATTAATTTGAGGTTATTCGAATTTGATTTGAAATCTAGAGAATTTGATTATCTTGTTTAATTAAATTCTATCTAATGTGGCTCCATGGATCTATTGGTATTTTAGAAGTAGTTTCTATATTCGAATCATGGACTTGAACTTGTTATGTATTCACTTTGTTGTGTTTTGAGCGTTGGACAACTTTGTTGTTATATTTATATTCATGAGAACATGTTTTCTTTATGGAATATATTGATGCCATGTGAAATGAATTGCACACTTTGTAATTGACATTATATATGCCATTTTAGAATTGAAACTCTAAGGCATGGATTGTGTGGTTTCAACCTACTTGTGCATGGAAGGTGGTTTTCGTGCATTATATAAATTACGTATAAGTTGTGAACTTATTTGATTATTTTGGAGTCTTGGGACATTGTTACAAGTGACATGGCTAGAGTTTGGCTCTAGTGCGGGAGGTATGAGTTCTCCCCAATTGAGATAGTGCGCACTAAGGTGGTTTTCCCAGCGCGTTAATGCCCGGAATAACCATTTAGTTCTCGACGGAAATCCGAAACGTGATGTCCAAGTCTTCCACTATTTGATTTCGCATTTAATTCCAAGTTGACAATCATGTTTAATTGTGACTTGTGGTTTTGGCTATTGGCGGTTGATGTTGTTAAGTACATCCATACTAAATTGTTATATTTAGTTGTTTTCACACTTTTAGATTTCAAGTTGATAACTTAGAGAATCTATGTCTTGATGTGTGATATTTGAAATTCTAATTGTACTAAATTGTTATATTTAGTTGTTATTGCATTTTAGATTTCAAGATGGTAACCTTGAGAATCTATATCTTGACACTTGTTTA